CTGCAACTCTTTCTCCTCATTCCTGCAAACAATTGCCGTGCTAAATATTGAAATATTGAATATTGTCTTTGCTTTTCATTCAGTGCTTCCCTCCCTGATATACAGACAGATGCAGAAGAAGAAACAGAATGCGTACTGAAACCAGTAGGGAACGTGAGCTTGATGGGGAGGCAGGGGGTGAAGCAGAGAATACAGACGGAGATGTGGTACCAAACAGGAAAGGCTGGTAACAGGGAATGCCAATGCAGCATGGACTCTAGAAATGGCTGGACAAGAGGATGAGTCAACAAGAAGGGACAGACAGGGGGCTGCTGGTCATTGAGAAGAGAAAAAGCTTGTAATTAAAGAAATAATCAGGGTTCCACGAAACTGAGTTCAGAAAAGAACGCTGAAGAATGTGAACTTAGGAAAAAAGAAACACAATGTCATGTAGAGCCAGGAAAGAGAGTGAGATTAACCATTAACAAAAACTGGAACTGGAGTGAGAAGGAAGAAACTAGGAAGATGTGGGGGACACAGATAACAGGAGCAACAGGGACACCTGCTCAGGAGGACACAGAGAAAAGGGAGTTTATGGTGAAAGGGAATCCTCCTCCTGATACTGGAAGTGAACACAAAGAGTCCTGACACTTAGCATTATTTGTCTGTTATTAACTATTTCTTAAACTATTTCTGAAACCTATTAGCCTTTAATTGCTAATCCACACTGACAATAAGCTCCCACAGTTACATTTGTGTTGTAGGGTTACCTGTTGTGGTAGATCTAAAAGTTCTGAACCATTGTATGACAATTAAGCTGAATATATTAAACTATAAGAAATGACAACTCTATTTCTTGCTTCTTCCTTCCTTTTCCTTAAAAAAAACAACTATTCTAATTACATGTTAAGACTGCAAAGTAGAGATAGGAAATGTCAAAATTAAGGTTGCCTTTGCAATGTGACTCAATATCACATTCAGAATACACTGTGGCCCAGTTTTTAATTAAATAATCATCTGTGGGTTGTTTGGTTTTTGGTTTTCTTTTTCTTTGCACCACCTTGGACAGATGAACCAAGGGAAGGTCATCATTAGTAAGTATGTAGCTTGTAAGACCTTGATTTAGACATTGATTAGACCTTGCAGACAACACCAAGCTGAGTGGTACGTTTCACACACCTGAGGGAAGGTATACCATCCAGAGGGACCTGGACAAGCTTGAGAAGTGAGCCCATGTGAACCTTATGAGGTCCAACAAGGCCAAGTGCAAGGTCCTGCACCTGGGTTGGGGCAACCCCCAGTATTGATACAGGCTGGGGGATGAAGGGATTGAGAGCACCCATGTGGAGAAGGACTTGGGGGTAGTGGTGGGTGAAAAGCTGGACATCAGCTGGCAGTGTGCACTTGCAGCCCAGAAAGCCAACCATATCCTAGGCTGCACCAAAAGAAGTATGGTCAGCAGCTCGAGGGAGACGATTCTCCTCCTCTGCTCTGGTGAGACCCCACCTGGAGTACCACACTCAGCTCTGGAGTCCACAGCACAAGAAACACATGGACCTGTTGGAGTGGGTCCAGAGGAGGGCCATAAAAATGATCAAAGGGATGGAACACCTCTCCTGTGAAGAAAGGCTGAGAGAGTTGGGGTTGTTCAGCCTGGAGAAGAAAAGGCTTCAGACCGTATTGCAGCTTTTCAACACTTAAAAGGGGCATATAAGAAAGATGGAGACAAACTTTTTAGCAGGGCCTGTTGTGACAGGAAAAGGGGTAATGGTTTTAAACTAAAAGAGGGTACATTTAGGCTAGATAGAAGGAAGACATTTCTTACAATGAGGTGGTGACACACTGGAACAGGTTGCCCAGAGATGTGGTAGATGGCCCATCCCTGGAAACATTCAAGGCCAGGTTGAATGGGGCTTTGCACAATCTGATCTAGTTGAAGATGTCCCTGGTCATTGCAGGGGCATTGGACTAGATGACCTTTAAAGGTCCCTTCTAATCCAAACTATTCTATGATTCTGTGATTCTATGATTCATTGAAAAAAAAAAAGGAAATATATGAAATGAGCATAAGTAGGCCGAGGACAGTGAGAAAAGAATGGATAATCATAGCTAAAAAGCTGAAGTGCTGTTCCTATATAGTCTAAGCCCACTAGAATACATACTTCCAAAATACTCAGTAATTATGTGCTGTTTATTTTATAAATATCCAGCTTGATATCTCAGTTCACAAACGAAATGGAATTCAACAGGAACTGTGATATTAAACACACAGAATACATTTGCCAAAAATGCAAAGTATTCTGTAAAAATAGGTCCTCGCTACTGGAAAATTAAGCGATTTGTCACCTTAATCTTTCTGTGGCTCTATTTCCCAGCTTTCAAATGGGAATACTCCACACTTC